TAAGATTCGATCAAGTGAGAGTATCTTAAAGATAAAATTTAGATTATCTAAGAGAGAATGAGATTCTCGTGTAGTGGACTCCTTCATATGCACTGCAGCAAGGTGGTGTATCTAAAAGAAGGAATCGTTAATTATTACATATAATGCGATTAATAACAAGCCATGTAAATTTCTCAAAATTGTTTTGAGGTCACGCATTGATTGCAGTGTGCAACACACTAAACCATGTCCCATCTAAATTGGTTAACAGAACTCCATACAAGTTATGGAAAGACAATAGTCCCAATTTATCTTATATGAAAGATTGGGGCCATGACGCTTATTTGAAGCGCCTTAAATCGGATAAGTTTGAGACTAAATCCGATAAATACATATTTGTGAGATATTCAAAGGAGACAATTGAATATAAATTCTATTATCATGAAGAAAGTCTTCGTCTCACGACATATCGTCTTCTTAGAGAAAATGTTTACTCTAGGAGAGGACAGTGGGAGTAAAATAGAATTTTGAAAGAGTTCAAAAGTCCACAGATATAGTTAACCAAGTAGATAAATCCGAGTTTGATCCCATATCTGATATGTGACATACTTTGGATCAGGAAGTAAAGACTCCTGGGGACATGACAGCTCTATGTGAATCTAGTAGGATCATTCGACCTTCAAGAAGGTGCAAATTCATTAATCAGGTATCAGTGATCCAGGATAATGAACCTGCTAGTTGCAACAAAATAAAGTCAAGTGTTGACTTAAAAGAGACAGCAAGAGGCCATGAAACTCGAAATGAGACTCGACGCAAATGAACAAGGTTTAGACCTTAGTCAAGCCTCCTAATGGAATAAAGCCCATAAGCTTTTGTAAATAGTTTACAAAAGAAAAGGTCGATATGGATATGAATATCCATATATACAAAGCAAGGCTACAAGCAAAGGTTAAATGTTGACCTTGGTGAAATATTTCTCCTGTAGCCTTGCTTAAATCCATTCGGATTTTGTTTGCAACAGTTGCATATCGTGACTATAGGTTAAGAGAAGGCTCTTGGAGCTGAAATCTTAGATTTGATGAAAAGTCAAAGTGTTTGATTTTATCAAATTTGAAAATGAATTGTGTGTTTACAAGAAAATAGTGGGAGCATTTTTCGTATTCCTAAAATGACATCCCTATATTTCAATCGTTGAAATAATGGTTGTTAAAAGATTTATTCATAAATGATATGGGATAAGCAACTTGATCTATAGAGGTAGATCTAGAAGATTGCTTAACTCATCCCAATTTACATAGATGAAATCGTGAGAAGATTTTATATGGAGAAACTGGTTTACTCTTAAGTGGTCTGTTGGAAAGGTTCCAAACGTGAAGCAGCCGTTGATTCAATAGTAGAAACCTAATACATGGATACTTCATAAGTAGCAAAGAGTTGCAATATGGATCATGATCTTCATAAATGAACTTGGAGTAGTTCCTGCTATTGTTGATAACATACAATAGTATTGTGATAATAATAGAGCCATTGCGAAAGCAAAAGAACTAAGGTCTCATCAATAATCCAAACATGTATTAAGGCGGTATAATCTCATCAAAGAGATAATACATAGAAATGACGTAAATAGAAGAGCAAATTTCCACATTTAATAATCTTGCAGATCCACTGACAAAGAGTTGTCGTAGTATAAACATGATCGTCATGTAGACTTATGATATTTGATACATAAGTGATTGGATCTAGTGCAAGTGGGAGTTTGTAAGTATTATGCCCTAGGTCCAATCAATTTTGGACATAAATACTTTTATATATAATTAATGCAATTAAATGGCAAATCTATTATTTAATTAATAGACGATTAAATAAATAATAGAGTCCGTAGATTCACATATTTGTAATTTGTTAATCACAAGGAGTTGTGATTGTGAGATACAAATTACATCTGATTGAATCTTAAATCATCCGTGGTCGTAAGTAATAACGAGATACGGATATCGTTATTATGGATAGACCATCACGTGTGGCATTTCTTACTTGTGAAGTAAGTAGCTGATCTCACAAGCTAAAGTGTGGTGACACTTAAATGAACACGTGGATGTTTTTGTTATAGAACAAAATATTGGAGACCCGTCGAGAGATTCCACATGGATAACTATCTGAGTGTCAGTGGTTAATCTCTAACGTTCGGTAGTGGAATTGGTCCTTTGACTTGAGGTCGTCATAGTACCTTATATGAGGACAGTCATACTTTGGCGGTGTTGGATGTTGCTCTAAAAAGGGCCGCTAATACGATATCGTTCGAGTACGTCAAGAATCATATGAAAGTTGTGATTGATCAATAAAGGATTCGTTACTCTTAGATAGTAGGAGATTATGATCTGCGTTTCATTCAATTAAGTCGATGATGAAATCCTTGGCCAAGGTGTACTCATAAGTCGCAAAGGAGTTTTCGACTTATATTGACTTAATAGTGGAGTAAAAGATATGATCGATGATCGAGATTGACACAACTCCATATCTCATAATTGATCGGATCATATTAACGAAGGGGTTATAGTTTCACAGTAAACGAACGAATTTGGTTTTGTCATACCACGTGACATTTCCCGTCACATGTATTGCCCTGACACATTGCTAGATATCAATCAGGGACGGCGAATGTGAATTGACGATAAATTAAAAGGGTATTTTAATTTATCAATTTTGATTAGATCAAAATAATATTTCACGTCGTTAGGCATCGTGGTCAGGAACCTAATGGGTTACACACAAAAGAGAATTGGAAGATTGTAAATTGCCAATTGGTTAATTTAACAATCGATAGATAAATTAATTAATTGGATTTGTTATTTATATTTTCGAATTGATTAATTGGATTAATTAATTCACGGACCGGGTTTAATTAATTGGATTAATTAATTATTGGACCGGACCGGGCCGAGCCTGTTTGGGTTTATATAAATACATAACTAGGGTTTGAGGTCCATAAGGTTTTTATTATTCTTGCTGGCACAAGAGAAAACCCTAGAGGTTGCAATCATATTCTCTGTGTGGATCACCGTTGGAGGCTGGACAATTGGACAGTTGTGGTGACGAATCAAGGTTGATGGAACGAAAAGAAAAGCAAAAAGATTGCAGATCTGAAAAGGTACAATCTTATCACAATTTCTATCTAAACACAAAGGCGATTCTTGGTGGGAATCGAAAATTATTTTAAATTCCGCTGTGCATGTATAAGTAGATTCCCAACACCTACCAGGTCTGCCTTTGGAGTTTTGGAACACACATGTTTTGGGTAAAATTGTATCTATGGTGGGTAAGCCTATTTCTACTGATAACATTACTACCACTAGAGGAAGACTATCCTATGCTAGAGCTCTTGTTGAAGTTGATGCACCTATAGACCTTGTGAGGGTAGTTAAAATAAGGCTTCCTAGTGGAAAATTAAGGGAGTAAGAAATCCTCTTTGAGCACGAACCTAAATTTTGTAGAACATGTAAGATGTTTGGGCACATGACAACTTCATGCTCCTTGAATGCCCAAACTAGAAAACAGAATCAGGTTGTTAAGGCCAATTCCAAAAAAAAATCAAGTTGATAAAAATGGGCAGATTGCAAGTGACAGTGCGTCTCAGATTGGACAGATTGTTGGGACCAGCATGCTTCAGGTTGATGTGGGTGATCTTGTTGGTTGGCAGTGTGATAATCGACCACAAGAGAAGTAGGCTAACAAGGGTACAAATCAGCATAGTCACCAAGCAGATTATAATGAAATCCCATTTACTGAGGTGATCAATAAGAAAAAAGGAATGCACCATGGACACATTCAAGGCAGGATTACTCTTGCCCTGGAGATGGAAAAGGATGGAAATCAACTGGCTAAAATGGGAGACGATTGTTCATTAATTTTGCAAGACACGACTACTAAGGCTACTAGCAATGATAAACCAAAGGGAAGCTTGAGGAGCAAAGAAAGACTATAGCTATAAAAGACAGGAAGAAGGGTATATCCCCTTGCTTCATCATCATGAAGATTGAAGCTTGGAACATTAGGGGCTTGAATTGTCCCCTTAAACAAAAAGGGGTTCGTCACTTCATGAAGCAACATGATATAGATGTTATGGGTATTTTGGAGATGAAACTTAGGGAACTAAAGTTGAACCAAGTTATGTGGAATAAATTTGACGGATTGATGCAAGTGATCAATTTTCTCACTCACAAAGCTGGGTGGATATTGATTTTGTGGAATCCTTCCAAAGTCAAATTGGAAGTGTTGGAGACTACATCACACAAGTCATCCATTGTACTGCTACTTGTAAGGTAACTTCCTATACCTTTTGTGCTAGTTTTGTTTATGCTTTCCATACAATTGTTAGCCAGAGGCCACTTTGGTGTAACATTATGGATTTTAGCACTAATGTTTCATTGCCTTGGATGATTCTTGGAGATTTTAACAACGTACTTAAATTTGATGAGAAGAGTAATGGAGCGGAGGATACCCCTTATGAAATTAAGGACTTTGCTAATTGTTGCCAACATGTTGGTCTTACGGATATGAGGTTCGTTGGTTGTGTTTTCACATGGACTAATAACTCGGTTTGGAGTAAAATTGATAGAGCTATGTTGAATGATGTTTGGGGACAAAAGGGTATCTATGGCCTAGGGGAATTTTTGCCTTTGGGATGCCTTTCCGACCATTCTCCGTGCGTTGTATCTATTTTTGAAAGAGGGGAGAGCACAAGGAAGCCGTTTAAATTTCTTAACATGCGGACAAATCATGAGGATTTCCATGGACTTGCACAAGCATGCTGGAATTTTGATGTTGTGGGAACCAAACAATTTGTACTTTTCAAGAAGTTGCATAACTTGAAAGGAGCATTGAAAGAGCTCAATGCTAAACACTTTGGACACATTTCTATTAGAGCAAATGATGCTAAAAGAGATTGTAGGCTACCCAACTTAGGCTACATGATCAGCCCGCTAATGTGCATTATCAACTCACGATGGCACAATTGAGAAAGAATGCCATGGGGTGACGTGAAGCGGAAAGGAGCTTTTACTATAACAAGCAAAGTGTGTTTTCCTTAAGGAAAGTGATAAGTGTACCAAATTTTTTCATTCGTTTGTGAAGAGGAACACAGGGAGGAATTTTATTGCTACCATAATTAAGGAGGATGGGATATACACCACTTCTCAAAATCAGGTTGCTCAGAAATTTATCCTATTTTACCGCAATTTGCTTGGCACAAGTTGCCCCGTTCATCCCATCAAGCTAGACATTTTGAGGAATGGGCCTTTGGTTTCGTTGGAACAAGGTAACTCACTTACTCGGGACATTTCTAGCCAAGAAATCAAGGAAGCACTCTTTGGCATTAGAGATGATAAATCTCCCAGGCCGGATGGTCACACATCTTATTTTTTCAAGAAATCTTGGGGGATTATTGGTGATGATGTTGTGGAGGATATCAAAGAATTCTTCTCATCTAGATCGCTCCTCAAACAAATCAATCACACGATCATTACTTTGGTGCCGAAGTCTAATCATACATCGAATGTCGAGGATTATAGTCCTATCTCTTGTTGCAATGAAATCTACAATGTGATCTCTAAGATCCTTTCATCTAGGTGGAGGCCTATTTTGGAGACCATTGTTGATCCAGCACAAGCCGCTTTTATTGAAGGTAGGAGTATGGCGGAGAATATCCATCTTGCCCAAGAACTTATGAGACAATTAATAGAAAGAGAGTTGTTCCGAGATGTCTTTTAAGGATTGATCTAAAGAAAGCTTATGATTCGGTAAATTGGGATTTCCTTAAAAAAGTTCTTGAAGGGTTATGTTTTCCGAGTAGATTTGTACAATGGGTTATGGAATGTGTTACTACACCATTCATACTATGTTGCTTTGAATGGGAGCACATGGCTTCTTTAAGGGAAGGAAAGGCCTCCAACAAGGTGACCCTCTTTCACCCTTCTTGTTTATCTTATTTCTTGAATATTTTTTGAGAATGATTAAAACTGCCACCAATGATAGTGAATTCGATTATCACCCAAAATCCGGCCCTTTAAAGATTATGCATCCAGTAATTGTGGATGATTTAATGCTTTTTACAAGGGGAGATGTCATGTTGTTGCAAATCTTAATGGATTGCCTATCCAACTTCGAAAATGCAACGAGTTTGAGGATGAACACTTTAAAATCCAGCTTTTTTACAACTCTAATTCATGTGCAAGAACTTGAAGAAATTCAAGCACTCACTAATATCTCGAAGGGTACTATGCCATTCTGGTATTTGGGTATTCCGCTTGCATCCGTGAAGCTTAAAGTTAGTTGCTATGCCCCATTTTTAGATAAAATTGTAACTTATATTGGTGCTTGGGAGTGCTCCTCTTTTTCTTATGCAGGAAAGGCAGAGTTAACTAGGGCGGTGCTTCAAGGTGTTGAATGTTTTTGGCTTTCTATTTTTCCTATCCCGACAACAATCATCTCAAGGATAATTAGTCTATGTCGTAATTTTCTTTGGGGATCCAAGAAGCCATTAGTAGCTTGGAGGGATGTTTGCCTACTGAAAGATGAAGGTAGCCTTGGTTTAAGAGACATGAAAAGCTGGAATTCAGCACTACTTGCAAAAACACTTTGGAACATTCATCAAAAGAAGGACACTCTTTGGATACGTTGGGTCAATCAGTTTTATCTTAAGGGGGGCAAGCATTTGGAATGTTTTGCCAAGGAAAGATGATTCACCTCTTATTAAAAAATTGCTGGAGATCTGAGATTTCATTTTGAGGGCTAAACACAATGAACAGGCGGCTGTTCATCAGCTGTCCAGCTGGACTTGTGATGACAGATTCAATATTTTTGCTGCGTAAGAGTTTTTCAGGCCGAAGGAGACAAAGATGATTTGGGCTAAATCAGTTTGGAATGCATATGTAATGCCAAAGCATGTTTTTATCGTGTGGTTGGTAACCAAATCTAAATTGCTTACAAAGGACAGATTGACTGCAAACACTGTTTCTGTTAACATGTGGATGATACGGCTGGTCATTTATTCTTTGGCTACCCGTTTAGCTGTACAGTTTGGGAGAAAGTTCGTGCTTGGGTGGGTCTTCAAAGGTCTATGTCTATATTGCCTAGTGCACTAAAATGGATAAAAAAAAAAAAAAAAAAAGGGAAGTCGGGGAACATCTTGGCATAGCAAAACAAAGCGTATTGCACTTACTACTACCGTCTACCACCTTTGGATGGCAAGGAATAGAAAGATTTTTTAAAATCTCAAACCACGTATTGATAGTATTGTTCAAAGAATGAAAACACACGTATACAAAATCATGTTTTCTTTGTATCTGAATGTTTTGATTCAATATGAGTCATTAGCCATGGGTCATTAGCTATATTGGTTGTGCCTCATTTGTATTTTGTTTGTTTCGCTCATGAATGCTCGATGTAATTGTATGCGGACTTGATGGGACATCTTACCCTTGGTATGTTTGGTGTAAATGTAAATCATTTTTAATTAATATAATTCACATTTACCGATAAAAAAAAAATTATTGCAAAAGTGGTCAAAAATCTATTAAAAATCTAGTCAAAATGGATCTCAAACACACGCTTAATATCATAACCCATTCAAATCACCTTTCAAATAGTAAGGGTGTCTATTAAACAATTACATTTGGTCATAATCAGTCATGACATCTGCTACACGTGACAAACATATGTTAATTTCAAGTCATATATGTCAAATCGCAATTAGAATAAGCCCATGTAAAAAGTTAACAACTTGAAACTTTTATAAACAAAATACTTTATTTATCCTTTAACAGGAAGATTTCAAGTTTAAAGTGAATTATTTTCAATCAAAATATTTATTTGAAATTTAATAGTTCTCAACAAATAAATATATTATGCTAATCATCTCGTGATATAAAACATGAATATGTTCGATCCGTTTAAATTTGGAGTTTGGGTCCCACAAAAATATAATTCAAAGTTGACTCATATCCATTTTTTAACATTGCTAACCCCACGTTCACACATACTAGTATTCACAAAAGAAAAACAAAATTATCACGGAACGTAAATTTACATGAGAACTGAACCAAGCAAAGTATGCTCGCACCATTTACATTAAATGAAAATAAAAGGCAATGTTACTAGATTTTAGACATTATGACGACAACCAAAAAATAAAAATAAAAATAAAATAAAATCAACAAGAGAAGAAAGTCAGAAAGTGCTTATTCCAGGAAACAAATCACTGATATGTAAATAAAAAAAAAAAAATCGGATTAAACAATTTTTGTGCTGCCTTTTCATAGAGGGCAACTAGACAATGAGTCACACTTCTCAGAAACATGCGTCCAACACACAGCAGCAACACAAGGCAGCGCAACTGTAAACAAGTTTTCAGGAAATTTCATCAATCACTGGCTCAAAACTGGAAATAGAAAATCACATCTATACTATCGAAATAGTAAATTCAAACTAAGTATTTCTATCTCATCGGTTCTTATTTTATTGCATAAACCTAGCATATTCTTTTTGTTTTTTTATAACTTCCACGGACGAATTGCGCATATTTTCACATCCAGGATTTACATAGTTATATATTATTGTCAAAAAGGAATAGAAATATATACTATCGATTCATTGTCAGAAGAAATATCTATTAATTATGTTAGGTATTTTGATTTCAAAATAGGTCAAATATAAAAATCACATAATTGGAAATATAATATTTTAACTCGATAAAATATCCATCTAAATTACATTATATAATGTACTCCATTGAATTTGTATTGGAACTCATTATTTCTATTTAATTGGTTCTATTTTTTAACTTTCACCAAGCCTATTCTTTTCTTTTTTGTTTTCTTATATGTTTTTATGGACGAATTCTATATATTTTCAAATCTAAGATTTAGATATAATATATTTAACACCGTCAAGAGGGAATTTCTTATAATTAAGTTAGATGTATACATTCCAAAAATGTTAAAAATAAAATTAGAGCTGCCATACATATATGATATTAAGAGTATATAATGTAATGATTATTTGGTGAATCAAACACTATGGTTTAATCCTTAAATATTATAATTACTTTCTAAAAGTACACTCTGATTATTTGAATATTATATCATTTAATTTCTTTTTTCGTAGGAAAATGCTCCTCTGCAAAAAAAAAGGCTGATAGAGGACTTAACACCCTTTCACAACCGTAGGGGCCTATATGAATAAACAATTGGGAGGAAGAAGTGATTTTACCCCCAAATGTGTGTAGGTCAACCCTTCTATCACGTATTTTCTGACAGAGGAGCACGGTCCTTTTTCATAATATCATTGACGAAATTCCAATTAAATGGAAATTTTTTAGAAACAATCAGTGTATTCTTAGTCAAAGTTCAACGTAAGTCCAAGATTCAAATTAAAGGTTGATTTTGAATTATGAATCCTATTTACAAAATAAAAATAAAAAAAATAATTTCTCGAAGTCTGAAATTTTCTTGAAACTTATGAAGAGTTTGGATATTAGGCATGTGTCCGGAATAAAGAAAATTGCTTTGAATGTGAATTATCCTCTTCAAAAATTAAATATTAATAAAATAAAATAATCATTATTTCCACTTGTTATGTTTGGTTTTCCATTTCTGTTTCCGTTTCCATACAGCCTAATAGACATCTGAGATAACTCACCATCCCTTCCAGAAGCCATCACCTCTCGACTGAGTTTCTGCCGGTGCCGGATCAATTGGTGGTTGGCCATGACCATCTTTCATGGGGTAACCGGCCGGCGGTGGTGGAGCCATATATGGAACACCCTGTGGCTCTGCAGTACCTGGCGGAGGATATACTGCGGTAAAAACCCACAAATTCAAACAATCAAAAACCATAATTATAAACCCTTTTTCAAGAAAACATTACTAAAAAAAAAAAAATAGATGCACAGATACCCTGGGGCTGATTCTGGTTGTAGTTACTCATTTTTTCCACAAAAAAAGCTCAGAAAATGACTCGAAATAATGTAAATGTCAAAAATCTGTGAGGAGTTAACTCGGGTGGGTGTGTATATATAGGATGAAGCTGGTTGAGTTGTTGAATAAATTACGTAACAAGGGCGGAGACACCGCGTTGAAGGAAGGGAAGGGAAGGGAAGGCAGGATATGGGAAAATCCAAACGGGGGAGGCTTTAAAGGAAAGCACAACGTAGAGTTCCCACTGCTTTGATTTACATTCAATATTTATTAATTAGAGAATCAAATTCGCGACGCGTAATCTTCTTTCACATGGGTTATTTGGTGTACTCTGTTGACTTTCTCTATTTTAAAGAGAATAAAAAGGAGAATATTTTTCGCTTTTTCAGTTATACATATTGCAATTTACGGTTTTTTTTTTTTTTTTTTTTCCCAATGGGCCGTTACTGATGCATTATAAAGGGAATACAAACTTGATAAATCTCTCTATTTTATGACACGTTACGAAATATTATTTATAATAAATCTCTTTATTTCATAATAATTACAAGAATAAATGCCTATTATATTCGACTATTAACTAGTTTCATATTCAAGTTTTGTCAGTTACATGAAATTTGGTTAATCATCAAATTTGAGTGCTGCTATATATAAATGTTGGTGTCAAAATCGGCCAACAATAAAAGTAATCATGAATCTCTGTCCGGAAAATTTCTGAATAATACTATGTAGTTTTAGTAGAGTTGCAATCCGAATCTAGATAGCGCTGCGCCATTTAATTTCACCTTTCATTCAATCTATCATCTAGCGGTACTTAGATTGGGATTGTAATCCCAAAAGGGCTAAATAGTATTACTCAAGATTTTTATAGACTAATTAAGAAAAAAATGCTTAAGATGGCGCCAGGTTCACCAGTGAAGACACTTTGATGCTCAAATTATATTAGGAATTATAACATAATGTCAATCAGATGACTACATGCATATAGAGTAATTATTACGGTTTGTGCGTTGATAGCGAATCATCATAATTTTATGCATTTTTATATCCTTGTAGGTCCGAATTCATAAATCAAATTATGCATTGATTAAAGAATAATGTTTGTGATAAGTGCATTTTACACACTTATTTATGCTACGAAACATGAATAATTATTGATAAATATGTGAAATATGGCTTAATTCTACATAAATTATGTTTTGCGGGACAGCATCGATGAATATGGCAGAATTGAGAAAAAAATAAGCGAAAAGGGGCCGAAATGAAATAAAACAAAAGTTCGGGGATCAAAGTGCCAATAATTGAAAGATGACCTTGAAGTAGGAATGAAGATGTGAAAGAGTCAATGACCAATTTAGTGAGAACATGGAGTATTGAAAAAAGAAGAAATGAGAAAAGTGGTTAAGAAACTAGAAAACGGATTTGGACGACTAAAATGCAACATTTGGAAGTTTGTCACTACTATGCGGTCACATAGTATGAATTTCCATGTGGTCGAATGGCCTATTGTAGAAACTTTTAAGGCCGATTTCCATTGAACTGTGCTGTATCATTGATTTGTATGTGCTATAGCATAGTTCATTTCCAGCATGAAAAATCAGGTTTCTTCTTTTTATTAAAAATCTTACGAAAACAAATCTTGGGACATCTTTTTTAAAGTCCCATGGTCGTCCATAAGTGGGGATGACAAATTCTAACATATGGACCCATAAACATACTTCCAAAAGTGCATCATAACTGATAAATGCGGGTTTATTGCGCTTATTTAGACCATTAAACTTAGATATTTGCAAGTTTTATTAGTGATTTATTGCTTTATTTTATTATTTTTATTTTGTAGGTGAAAACTCGAGATTAAACGATGAATTGAAGGAATTTATGCAAAAAACCAGCTAAAGATGAAGACAAACGAAGAAGATGACAAAAGACGCCACCAAAAAAAGATTTAAAAAAAAAATCAGCGAGCTAATTGGGCGCCTAGGCGCCCAGCCCGAACAAAAAACAAAAACTGCACCCGGGCCGTTTTTAATTATTTTCAAACTTCCAGGGACCATTGCTGCAATTTTCTTTAGGTTTTAGGTTAAAACATTCAACCAAACACAAGATTTTCATTCTTGAACTTGAGGGGCAGTTGGTTCTTCTTCTTCTTGTTTTCTTTCTTTTTCCGTTTTCCTTTCACCTTTATTTTCTAAGATATTTTGAGAAAGATTGGAACATGGAGATGGTGCATTAGCTTGGAGAATATGACCCATTGATATTGAAAGATTTTCAACCATTTCTCTCTTTATCAATAAATTTTTCTTTTCACTTTTTCCATCAATGTTTTGTAAGAAATTGTTAGTTATTTGTGGATATTTTATGGGTAACTAATTATATTTTGTGATTGGGGATTATTTCAAATTCGAGTTATGATTTTCAATTAATTTGTGCTTTATAATCCTCTTGATTAATGTGTTTAATCCATTGTGTTAAATGTTTATTTTGTTCTTTTTGATTGTTTAGGTGTACAACTAAATGGTTAAGTTGTTTCGATAATGCTATTTTGGAATTAGTAGTATTTAATAGCTATTAATTCTAAAACTTAGTAGCAATTACATTTCGATAGATTATGTATAAATTTCAATTGAATGTATGTGGATTAACACTTAAGTTTGTAAACCTAGCTTGCGAGTTTACCCTTAATTCATTTCATCTCTTTTGTCGTAATGCGTTTGTTAAATTAAATTTAGAGAGCTTGTTCTAAATTGTTTAATGAATAGGGTTGAGTAAAGAGCTTATTTTATTCGACTAACATGTAAGAAGAGATTGAAGTAATTGAGTTTGTAATTATTCTCGAATTGTTGTTAATCTTGAGAACGAAAATCTATTGTTGTAATTGACATGAAAATCATTCTTGTGGTGACAAAATATCCCCCAATCACATTTTCTCGCATTGAATCAAGAATCACTTTGTTTATTTCAGATTTCAAGTCTTTTCTAATTTAAATTTATCGATTTCCTTAGTTCAACAAACCAAACCTCCCATTTAATTTATTTCGTCTATTATTATTAATTTTACTTTTTATTGCGCAATTGACATAATTGAATCAATCCTCTGCGGGAAATGACCCTTACTTGCCATATTACTATTTAAAATGACACATTTAAGTTAAGTAAGGAAAATTAATTAGAACGTGATATGCAACATATCAATTTTGGCGCCATGTCGCCGGGGATTATTCTATCAATTTGTTAATTGTAATATTTTTCTTTTTGTTGTTTTTCTATTTATTTTTGTTATTTTCTTTGTCATTTAGGTTGTAAATGAGCAAAAAACCTATAACACACTACAATCTAAGATCAAGAAAAGAGACCGACACATTGGAAAGTGGAGAAGACATTTCTCCGACTAGACATCTAAGGCGATTGAGCATTGAATCCTCAAGTGACTCCGAACACATAGAGCCCAAAATGGCATATGCAAATCAGACCTTAAGGGAACTTGCAGCTCCAACTTTTGTTCAACAACCTCTATGCATTCAATATCCTCAAGTGGAGGTAGGATTTGAACTAAAGTCCGAGATGATTCATCTACTTCCCACATTTCATGGATTCCCTGGAGAGGATCCAAATAAGCATTTGAAGGAGTTTCATGTGGTTTGCTCAAGCATGAAACATGTGGGTATATCAAAAGAGCAAGTGAAATTACGGGCATTCCCCTTCTCTCTTGCAGACACTGCTAAGGAATGACTCTATTATTTGCCGGCCTTATTACCACGTGGAATGAAATGTAAAAGCTCTTTTGGAGAGGTATTTCCCAGCTTCAAAGGCTACTAACATCAGGAAAGAAATCTGTAGCATTCGACAATCTCAAGGGAAAAATCTCTATGAGTATTAGGAGAGATTCAAATGGCTATGTGCTAGTTGCCCAAACCACCAAATCAGTGAGCAATTACTTCTACAATACTTTTATGAAGGATTACTCCCGATGGAGAGGAGTATGATCGATGCGGCTAGTGGAGGAGCTCTAATGGATAAAACACCGGCAGTTGCTAGGGATTTGATAGCCAACATGGCTGTAAACTCACAACAGTTTGGTAGTAGAGAAGTGGCACCGGTTAAACAAGCGAGGTAGGAGCAACCTCTCAAATTGAACAACAGTTAGCCGGTCTTACATCGCTTGTGCAACAAATGGCACTTGGGACAATGCAACAAGAAAAAGTGTGTGGGATTTGTTCTATTGTGGGACATCCTACTGAGGCATGCCCGACACTACAAGAAAAAGCCTCATAGCAAGGGAATGCCATTAGGGGATTTCCAATGCAACAGAGACAGAGATATGATCTATATGCTAACACATATAATCCTGGATTTAGAGATCATCCTAATCTCAGTTATGGAGGAAATCATTTCATAGCTCCACAATCACAATTTAATCATCCCCCCGGGTTCAATCAACAAAGGCAACCACAACACCCTCAACCTCATCAACAAACTCCGCCTCAAAGTTTAGAGATATCTCTTGAGGATATGGTTAAGTCCTTGGCTTCTAGTACAATATAATTTCAACAAGAGACAAAGACCTCAATTAAGAATTTTGAAACACAAGTGAGCCAATTGGCCAACACGGTAGGTAAATTAGAGGCTCAAGGATCGGGAAAACTTCCTTCTTAAGCAATCAACCCGAGAGAAAACGCTAGTGCCATGATACTAAGAAGTGGAAAGAATTTGGAAGACACACCAAGAAAAATGAAAGATCAAGTTGAGGAGTTAACACAAGAGAAGAACTTAGCAAGTGAAAAAGATGAAGCTACAACTCCAACTGTGGGATTTAAGGTAGAACATAAAAGTTTTATTCCTACGTATGTTCCCTCTCCTCCATTTCCTGACAGGTTTGCAAAGTCCAAAAGGTAGAACATGAGAAGGAAATTTTGGAAACTTTTCACAAAGTTCAAGTGAACATACCACTTTTGGATGCAATTTATCAAGTGCCTCATTATGCAAAGTTCCTCAAGGATTTGTGCACTAACAAGCATATATTGAAAGGTAATGAAGTGGTAAGTGTAAGGGAAAATGTCTCAGTGGTCTTGCAAAAGAAACTTCCACCAAAATGTAAGGACCCTGGAAGTTTTACCATCCCTTGCATTATTGGTAACACTAGGTTTGAAAAGGCAATGCTAGATTTAGGAGCATCTATTAATGTCATGCCATATTCTATTTATACTTCCTTAAATGTAGGATCACGTAAAGAAACCGGTGTTATTATTCAACTTGCTAATAGATCTAATGCATTTCTAAAGGGTGTGTTGGAGGATGTTTTGGTGCAGGTAAATCAGTTGATTTTTTCAACAGATTTCTACGTTCTTGACATGCAAGATGAACCAACATCTTTGTTGCCACCGTTGCTCTTGGAAAGACCATTTATGAGGGTTGGACGTACAAATATAGATGTGCATGATAGTACATTGACAATGGAGTTTGATGGTGAGATTATTTGCTTTAACATCTTTGAAGCAATGATGTATCCTAGTGATGTTCATGCTTGTTTTTCAATTGATATAATAGGTTCATTAGTACAAAAAGTTTTTGAATTATCAAATGAAGATGCATTGTATACCACTTTGATAAAAAGCATTGATGCTAACAATCTCATTGGGTTGAGCAAGAATTACAAGTGTGCAAGGGTGTGGTTGAAATCGTGGCATCACTTGAATCACTACCAAGTATTTCACTAAGGTATGATCTCTCCTATATTACTCTTCCGATATCTAAAGAGAAACTTTTACCTTCGGTGATGTAGGCCCTCACTTTGAAACTCAAACCTCTTCCTGAGCATTTGAAGTATGTATATTTGGGAGAGAGGGAAACACTACCAGTGATCATTGCAAAGAATCTCACAACACTTCAAGAAGATAGGCTTATTCGTGTGCTCAAGGAACACAAAATAGCTATTGGTTGGACAATAGCCGATATCAAAGGGATAAGCCCTTCTATGTGCATGCACCGGATATTGCTCGAAGACGGAGCAAAGCCATCAAGAGAAGCACAACATCGCTTGAATCCTCCCATGATGGAGGTTGTGAAGAAAGAAATTTTGAAATTGCTAGACGTTGGTGTCATCTTTCCCATTTCCGACAGCATGTGGGTAAGCTCAGTCCAAGTTGTTCCAAAGAAGTCTGGAATCGTAATGGTGATGAATGAAGAGAATGAGCTTGTACCAACTCGGGTCCAAACGGGTTGGAGGGTTTGTATTGATTATAGAAAACTTATTTGTGCAACCCGAAAATATCACTTTCCCTTACCCTTTATTGATCAAATGTTGGAAAGATTAGCAGGCCATTCTCATTATTGTTTTCTTGATGGTTATTCAAGTTATAACCAAATTGTGATTGCTCCGGAGGATCAAGAGAAAACAACATTCACTTGCCCATTTGGCACTTTTGCTCACAGACACATGCCCTTCGGCCTCTGCAATGCTCCCGCAACCCTTCAAAGATGCATGATAAGTATATTCTCCAATTATATTGAAAGCATCATTAAGGTCTTTAAGGATGATTTTAGTGTTTATGGTAATACCTTTGATAGTTGCCTGCAAAATCTCACACTTGTGCTTAAGAGATGTATGGATGCTAACCTAGTACTTAATTGGGAAAAATGTCATTTTATGGTTGATCAAGGCATAGTGTTAGGCCATGTCATTTCTTCCAAGGGAATAGAAGTTGATAAATCTAAAATTGATCTAATTCGTTCTTTACTTCCTCCAACAAGTGTGAGGGAGATTCGTTCTTTTCTTGGACATGCAGGATTTTATCGAAGGTTTATCAAGGATTTTTTCAAATGTGCAAGACCACTATGCAGTCTGTTGTAAAAGGAGGTGCCATTTCACTTTGATGAAAATTGTAAAAAGGCATTCGAAAGCTTGAAGGAACTTTTGACATCGGCACCCATCATTCAACCACCAGATTGGAACAAGCCATTTGAGTTGATATGTGATGCAAGTGACTTTGCATTGGTACTACTGAAAAAGAGCTTTTAGTAGTTATTTTTACCTTAGAGAAATTTCGTTCATATCTTATTGGGACTAAAGTAATTGTCTTTTCTGATCATGCAGCTCTTAGGTACTTGTTTGCCAAGAAAGAGGCAAAACCAAGGCTCATTAGATGGATACTCCTCTTACAAGAGTTCGACAATGAGATTAAAGACAAAAAGGGGAGTGAAAATTCTGTGGCTGACCACCTTAGTCGCCTTATCCATGAGAAAGAAACTCTCCCATTGCAAGAAAGCTTCCCCGATGAACAATTACTTCTCGTCATGGACACATCTCCTTGATTTGCAGATATAGTGAACTATTTAGTCACTAAGAAAATTTCAAGTGACTTGACCACTGCTCAAAGGGAAAAACTCAAGGCGATGGCCAAGTATTTGTGTGGGACGAGCCATACTTGTGGAAACATTGTTTGGATCAATTGATAAGAAGGTGCGTGCATGAGTTGTCACTATTATACATGTGGTGGACATTTTGGAGAAAAGAGGACTGCTCTCAAGGTGCTTGAAAGTGGATTATATTGGCCCACCCTATTCAAAGATGCATTCCTCTTTTGTGATCGATGTCAAAGGGTAGGTACGTTGGGAGCCCGAAATCAAATGCCACAAACACCCATACTTTTTGTTGAAATTTTTGATGTTTGGGGTATTGATTTCATGGGGCCTTTCCCTTTATCTTATCATAACCTTTACATCATTCTTTCCGTTGATTATGTGTCAAAATGGGTGGAAGCAAGGGCCACTCGAACTAATGATTCTAAAGTGGTTGTAGATTTTGTTAAATCCAACATTTTTGCAAGGTTTGGAACATCAAGAGCTATTATTAGTGATGGAGGACTACATTTTTGAAGCCGTTCCTTTTGGGCTCTATTGAAAAGATACAACAGCACCCATAAAGTGGCTACACCTTACCATCTACAAACTAGTGGGCAAGTCGAAGTGTCTAACTGAGGGGTCAAATCCATTCTCAAAAAAATTATGATCCCAATAGAAAGGATTGGAGTCTTCGCCTCAATGATGCACTCTAGGCTTATAGGACGACATACAAAACACCGATTGGCATGTCCCCTTATTGGTTAGTTTATGGTAAGCTTTGTCATCTCCCAGTTGAACTCGAACACAAGGCATTTTGGACAGTCAAGCAATGCAACATGAACCTAGGTGCAGAATGATCAAAGAAAGTTTCAACTCAATGAACTTGAGGAAATTTGAAATGACGCCTATGAAAGTTCAAGAATTTACAAGGATAAAACTAAGGTGTACCATGATAAAATGATTTCAAGAAAGGCTTTTGTTGTTGGACAAAAAGTTCTTCTTTTCCGCTCGTGCCTCAAGTTATTTCTAGGTAAATTACATTCTCGATGGATTGGCCCTTTTGTTGTTACTAATGACTTTCATCATGGTGCAGTAGAAATCAAAAGCCTTCAGACTAAGAAAGAGTTTAAGGTGAATGGGCATCGATTAAAGTCCTATTTTGAACCCTTCGTACGACAAAACATGGAGGATATGGGATTGGAGGATCCAATCGAAGAAGCATGAAAGAAGGCACTTATTTTTGTTTTTGTGAATTTTTGTCGCCAATGGTCCCCAACTATCACCGTCAACACCACTAGGGGAGTATTTGAACCTCTTACACTTTCTATTTCTTTTTGCTTTTACATTGAGGACAATGTGCAATTTAAGTTTGGGGGTAAGGTAATATGTGATAATTTTTTTGTGAAATTTTGTGGTTTGTGATAATTTTGTTCTCACTAAAAACTTAAAAATTCGGGTTAAACACTTGTTTTTATGCTTGTTTGTGTTGTTTGATAGTTTTGCCAATTGCATTTTGAGTATTGCATTGCATTGATTTATGAATTGGGAACATGAATGCTAAGTGTTGTTTATTTTTATCCACTTATTCCATGATTGACTCTTTATTGAGCACTTGGGTCATGAGATTCATCACATGCACTTGTTGGTTGCACTTGTAGGTTGTTAACGAACTTAAATGACCATGCTATTAGAAATTCTTCAATTACTCAACCAAAGAAAGGATAAGTTTGGGGGTGGTTGAACAGGTGAAAGAAATTATTTAGAATTGTATTAATTCTCGACTCAGTGATTGATTTTGTGGAATGTTCTTAGACTTCAAATGAAAGTTAGATGTTGTTTTCCATCTATTGATTTTTCCAAAAAAAAAAAATTGTACGAAAAACTTTCCTACCCTAAGAATAATCTGGCCCTATGTATCACCAATGTGTAGGAGACGATCTATGAATGAAGAAGGCTATCCTTAGGGGCCAGAGGGAGAACTACCTACATTGGAAAAATGAAGAAAAATAAGAGGGATGCTATAAGCATATAGGGATGATTTTGTTGAAAAATTGATGGATTGTGAGTAATTTGCCTAACATGAGTTGTGGTCTAAGCACTCAAAATTTTTGGTGAATTAATACATGACTAGATGATCTTTCTTTTTTTTTTTTGTTCAAACCAACCAAATTTGAGACGGAAAGATTGAGTGGTTTGAGGGCAACCTTAAGGTTTTGATACCTTGGGTTAGAGTGAAAATATCAAGTTTGGGGGCGTGTGCATCCCACAAGTGAGAAAGGAAAGTTTGACCATTGAGGGTTGGGAAAATCACCAACTTGTGCATTGCGATGAATTGGAATGACCACACACACACACACACACGAGTCAAGCATGGTGTAAGTTTAAAAGTGTTTGTTGTAGCATTTTTGTAAACATTTCATAAGTTATTTGCATAATGTAAGAATTGTAGTAAAGTGGCAAAATATCGAACAATTGGAGTGTTTGTTATTATTATAGTATTATCGTTTGGTTTTAATGTGTGTGTTTGTATGCCTGTTTATATTACTTTGTTCGAGGACTAACAAAGATTTAAATTTGGAGGTGTGATAAATGCGGGTTATTGCGCTTATTTGGACCATTAAACTTAGATATTCGCGAGTTTTATTAGCGATTTATTACTTAATTTTCTTATTTTTATTTTGCAGGTGAAAACTCGAGATTAAACGATGAATTGAAGGAATTTATGTGAGAAACGAGTTAAAGATGAAGGCAAACGAAGAAGACGGCCAAAGGCGCTGCCGAAAGAAGATTAAAAAAAAAAATTCATCGAGCGGCGCCCAGCCTGACCAAAAAAAGAATTTGTGGCGCCCAGGCGCTCATGTTCCAGCGCCTAGGCGCCACCCGGGCCGTTTTTAATTATTTTCAAAGTTCCAGGGACCAATGCTACAATTTTCTTTAGGTTTTAGGTTAAAACATTCAACCAAACACAAAATTTCCATTCTTGAACTTGAGGGACAGCTGGTTCTTCTTCTTCTTCTTCTTCTTTCTTTTTCATTTCACCTTTATTTTCTAAGATATTTTGGGGAAGATTGGAACATAAAGATAGTGCATTAGCTTGGAGAAGATAATCTATTGATATTGAAAGATTTTCAACCATTTCTCTCTTTATCAATAAGTTTTTCTTTTCACTTTTTTCATCAATGTTTTATAAGAAATTGTTAGTTATTTGTGGATATTTCATGGATAAATAATTATATTTTGTGATTGGGGATTATTTCAAACCCGAGTTATGATTTTCAATTAATTTGTGCTTTATAATTCTCTTGATTAATGTGTTTAATCCATTGTGTAAATGTTTATTTTGTTCTTTTTGATTGCTTAGGTGTACAACTAAATGGTTAAGTTGTTTCGATAATGCTATTTTGGAATTAGTAGTACGTAATAACTATTGATTCTAAAACCTAGTAACAATTACATTTCGATAGATTATGAATAAATTTCAATTGAATGTATGTGGATTAACACTTAAGTTTGTAAACCGAGCTTGTGAGTTTACCCTTAATTCAATTCATCTCTTTTGTCGTAATGCGTTTGTTAAATTAAATCTATAGAGCTTATTCTAGGTTGTTTATTGAGTAAGGTTGAGTGAAGAGCTTGTTTTATTCGACTAACATGTAAGAAGAGATTGAGGTAATTGAGCTTGTAATTATTCTTGAATTGTTGTTAATCTTGAGAACGAAAATCTATTGTTGTAATGGACGTGAAAATCATTCTCGTGATGACAAAATATCCCCCAATCACATTTTCTCGCATTGAATCAAGAACCACTTTGTTTATTTCAGATTTCAAGTCTTTTCTAGTTTAAATTTATCGCTTTCCTTAGTTCAACAAACCAAACCTCCCATTTAATATATTTCGTCTATTATTATTAATTTTACTTTTTAGTGCGCAATTGATATAATTGAATCAATTCTCTGCGGGAAATGACTCTTACTTGCTATATTACTATTTAAAACGACATATTTAAGTTAAGTAAGAAAAATTAATTGGAACGTGATATACAACGTATCAATAACAACACGTATATACTTACTATTGCGTGGAAAAATAAAGGCAATCAAAGAAATTGGCTTGCTTGGTTTCCACTCTAAAGTTTTCTTGAACAACGTGAGTACTAAAAAATTTTGTAATGTGAAATATGCTTGTGTGTAAGATGGGTTATTAGAGAGAAGAGAAAAAGTGACGTGTGAATTTCTTGAAAATCATAAACATATTTATAGTATGCTGATGACGCATGGATAAATCTCATAATTTTTTTAAATAAATTTAAATACTTAAAGATAATCTTAATATCCAACAAAATTTGTGATAATGTTGAATAATCATAATATCCAACATAATTTGAATAATTAAAAATAGTCATAATATCTAATAGAATTTATGATAATATTGAATATTTAAAAATAACCATAATATCTAAAATTTGGATAATGTTGAATACTTAAAAATAATCGTAATATCTAACACAGTCTGTAATAATGCTGAATATTTAAAAATAATCATAATATCTAATCGAATTTATTTATTTAAACTTATCAAAATATCTCAGAAATTCTATCACTTTGAGATTCAAATATTTGTGCTTTAATTCCTAAAATGTTATACATTAACCAATTAGGTCCCTAGACTATACCCTCTACGTGATAAGGCCCTAAATTTTAATTTAATGACTAATTTTAAGGTATGAGGCATCACACAAATTGTTGAATCGAAGAAAAAACAAATGGTTAATGATACTGTGAATGATGGACAAAGAGGTGAGAAAGCACCTTGGGTGAACCTTTTCAAGGATAATAAAAAATTTGTTGATGTTGTCAAGTTGCAAGCATTTGAAAATCTATCGGAAAAAGTGGTTCTATGTGAAATGGATGCTTAAAATGTAGAGACAGCTTGAGAACTGGGGCTCGTTGGGTACTTTGTCGATAGATTCCTAGGGAAAGCCGCCTTACTTCAATTGTGTGATTCTTGGAAGGTTCAGTATAAATATTTTGTTCACTCTAGTGGATGGTTGGTCTTTAAATTTGAGATGGAGTTACATGGAGGTCCATTTTGTCTTTGGAAGACCATTTATACTTAAAGTCATGCCGCGGTATTTTGAGTTTGATGAAAAAGAAGTGAGCACTATGCCGATTTGGATCAACATACCAGGTCTGCCTTTGGAGTTTTGGAACACACATGTTTTGGGTTAAATTGTATCAATGGTGGGTAAGCCTATCTCTACTGATAACATTACTACCACTAGAGGAAGACTATCCTATGCTAGAGCTCTTGTTGAAGTTGATGCAGCTATAGACCTTGTGAGGGTAGTTAACATAAGGCTTCCTAGTGGAAAATTAAGGGCGCAAGAAATCCTCTTTGAGCACGAACTTAAATTTTGCAGAACATGTAAGATGTTTGGGCACATGACAACTTCATGCTCCTTGAATGCCCAAGCTAGAAAACAGAATCAGGTTGTTAAGGCCAATCCCCAAAAAAAAAAAATCAAGTTGATAAAA